ATATATATATATATATCAAAGAAATAAATAAAAGAGTCAAATAAATATTGATTGACAAAGTCCTTGTTAAATTTTTTTATCACCTTTCAGGGTTTGGTTAAAGAACGCAATGAAGATGGGCTAAAGAAGAACTCCACAGAAGTCCACAAGTTCCTAGAAGAGCTTGTTAAAATTGGTAAAGTATTTGTAGCGCTTTTTATTTACTATTACTTTAAAGTTGCAACTAGCTAGGATCTCTAGCTATTATTTTCGTAAGAATAATTCAACTATGCTTAAACGAGTGCCTACCAATTAAATTTCAGATTTCCCTGGATCAAAGGCAGCATCTGAAGCATCTTCCAAATTTGGACCAGCCTTGGCTTCAAGCTCGGTTTTCTTTGTGTTTGAAAAGGTGTCCACTTTCATTGTGACAGAAGAGAAAGAGAAAGTTGAAGGTGTTGAAGCCACTTCTGCAGAAACTAAAACAGAAGAAGAAACAACTAGCGTGAAAGAGAGGGAGATAGTGGTTGAAGAGGAGAAAAAGGAAGAGGAAGAGAAACCCCAAGAAATAGAGACAAGTGCTGAGAAAAAGGTGGAAGAAGAAAAACCAGATGAACCTGCTGCTAAAGAGGAAGAGAAACCGGCTGAACAAGCAGAACCACCAAAGCCTTGAGAATTTCGTTCTGAATAGCAACTATATGTGTTGCTGCTTCTTGAAGATGGATGCAGCAAGATATATATACGTGTATCTTTAGTTTGCAATTTGCATACACTCAAAATTGTCACATACCATTATTCCCTTATTCTTTTATTCCTGTGTAATTGATTTTGTGCTGCTTAGTTTGATATTGTTGCAGATTTGGTGATGAATATGCATGTGAATTAATGTACTATCATGAAACGTTTTGTAATTTTCATTTCCATTTTTCAGTCAAAGAATTGTGACGTGGATTTTAATTGGGTTCATCGAATATATCCTTCCTAGCTATCTATCTGTTGTTTTGTTTCATTTAAAAGTTGTCAGTTCCATTATGGAAGTCCTGTTTTGCTAGGTTTTACATTTATTTGTTGTTGTGTACGTGGATTCACTTCACTGTTGATTTGAATATAGTGGAATGGAATTAGCCATACAGCACACAATGATATGTGCATAAATTTATGAAAAGCTTAACAAATTTGAAACACAGGCCTTAAATTATATTACGAGGGTTAAGACAAATTTTATATCTTAATTTAATTTTTTATTTTCTTGTCAACTATGAAATTATTCACTTTATGTATAAAATAATAAATTCATTTATTATATTCTTTGAGGTAGATAGTTAGAAAATTTTCGAGTAATTTTAATTTAAAAAAACTAATTTTAAGAAATAACAATGGTTATAAATATTGTCAACAATATTTTAATTAGAAGCAGTGCGTGTATTTGAATATATATATATATATATA